GTTTTTTTTTCTTTTTTCTTGCACCAGGGCACAGACTTTATATGACTGCTAGAAACAGACTGTTTCTAGAGTAAGCTTCTTTAAAAAATATTTTTTATACAAATGCTCTTAAATAGTTTCAGAARCCATCGATGCATCTATCCATTACAACGCTCTTTTAATCTTCCTTTTACATAAAAGCAGAAAACGTTTTTAAGGACTCCTTTCACTTACTTTCACACTTTAGGTATTTTGATATCTCTATTTTGGCTGAGTAACTCAGACAAGGTTGACAGCTCCACCAGTAAAAATTTTGTTACGRAAAAGGAAACAAGTTCACCCAGTGATTTAAAACTCTTCCCGGGAATGGGAACGCTTTTGCTCCGCTGATTCATCCGCGATTTGACGGGAAGAAGAGTTTTGCTGAATTCCCGCAGTTCTCCCGACTCCTACAACAGCAACGCGGAATATAGTGAAATTTGAACTCTCCCCTCTTGGATCCCTCTGGAAATACCCCAATAGGGGAGATATTTTTAATAACAAGGGCAGCACAGGAGCCCCGCGCTGCGAGTCCATGCGGACAGACAGCACCCCGGCACCGCTGCCCGCAGGGTGCGGAACCCACGGCACGGCTGAGAAGGGCGCTCACATCCAAGTCTCGGCTCTCCCAGGAGCGGGAAGGTCCCCGGTGCCCGCTCACATCCCGATCGGTTGACGAGGACGGGATGGTCGMGAGGCCGCTCCGCAGCGCTGTTTAKATTAATTTAAAAACTGGGTTTGTTTTAAAATTTGTATCAAAGCTATCAATTAATTTTAAATAYAACCAATTCGTTGTTTTCTCAACATCATCTTTTCAAAAACTCTAGTAAAACGTCTCACTCTGTCCCCATCACGCCTGGCGGAGCCCAGCGCCGGGGGGGCGTGGTGCCCGGAGCTCACCCGGACAGAGGTCCCGGGCTGAGGAGCTCTGCCCGTCCCCAGCTGCAGGACAGTGCGCCCTGGGGACCCGATGCCATGCGGGAACATYCCCCCTCCGCAGCCCCTGCCCTTCCCGCGGGGGTCCGAGGAGGGGAGTCAGACACAGCCGCCTCCCCCTCGCTCCCTCCTCACGGCACTTAATATTCAGGAAATCCACAAAGTGGTACGAAGAGAGTGGAAAACGTGACATCACGGGCTAATTGGGAAGGAGCGTTCGGKCTGAGGGAATAGCTCAGCCCTGAGTAATGCCTTGTGTTTAATGGCTGAGTAAAGCTTCATCAGCAGCAGTTAAACACGTATCCCTCKAAAAATGATT